CCACGTATTCAAAGAATCACTTGTCGGCACTGTTTAGGAAAACACCCGATTTGGCCGAACAGTTCAGAAATGCCGTCAGTTCTCTCATGCTATACGAGTGCCCCAACCCTGACCTCAATGACAATCTGTCGATGGATTGGTTCGTGATTTCGGCCAAAAAGTATCAGTTGAACGGAAAGTCGATCGAAGAGTTGTGCGAATACAACGCCGAAGTGGCCGCACAACTGAATCGGACACAAATCTCACAGACCTGGAAGATATTGATGCAAATGTTTAACACAAACGTCAGGAACGCTACCCTCAGCGGCAGCGGTAATGTCAACTCGATTACAGTCGGAACCATTACCGACTTTAATGACAAAAGTGATCCAAACAATCCCAGTCGACACGCCAGTGGCAGCACCGGTAGGCATCTGAGTGGTGGCAAACCCATTGATCAATTCAATACGAACGACACGTCTGGCAATGAAGACGAGTCCGACTTGAGTGATATTATTGAAGACAACAGTCAACCCAAATACAAACGCGTGTCTCAGCCGTCGCCCAAACGGCAACTCTTTGGCGACCATTTCTTTCTTGAAAACGATATGTTATCTCAATCTGGTTTCGAATTGAGTCAATCGAGTACTTTATTTGATCCAATGAGTCAACAGGACTGGGAGTTACCGCGAGAGGCCTTCTTTCCCCGACACGCCATTCAAGACTGTTCTATACCTCCGGATATAACCGACGCTAATATAGAGCCCAATTCTCCGACCACTAGTTTGGATGAAGACGACGAAGTGCTTAATCCAATGAATTTCATGTCCATCAGTGATAGTGACTCTCATTCACATTCAGTGCTGTCATCTCGAGCGCCGCCGAACCCCGTCTGGCCCTTCACCGGTTTGGTGGCAGAAATGTTGCACTTTTACGCCTCTCAGGGCGACGTCCAAACCTCGGTCTCCATTCTCATCGTTTTGGGCGACAAAATGAAGACATCGATCGACGTGTCGATTCAGCAACAGTGGTATCAGTCATACATCGATCTCTTAAGCCGTTACGAGCTGTGGAGTGTCGCTAATAAAGTGATCCGTTTGTGTCCGCATCCGTACATCAATACTATGAACCAGTCGTCGACCACAATATACACGACGTGTGGTGTGTGTCGTAAAGCTCTGAACTCAAAGGTGAGTTGGCTGTGCGAACGATGTCGAACTGCGCCCTCAAACTGTTCCATATGTCATGTGGCGGTCACCGGTCTCTATGTCTGGTGTCAGGGCTGCGCACACGGAGGACATCTGCAGCACATCCAGGAATGGTTGGCCAACAACACCCTCTGTCCCGCCGGTTGTGGCCATCACTGCGAATATACTTAAATTAAATTGTTATATATTTTTGGTTCTCTTCTTGTTTTTAATAGTTATATATATTTTTGTTGAAATCATTTTTTGTGATTTAAATGGAGTTCTCTTATAATGAACTCTATTTAAAAGAATAAGTTTCTATAAAATTTGAATATTTATTATTTTATTTGTTTTTTTGTATTAGTTTTCATTTAGGAAATTTTTATATGAAATAAATTTAAATTATTTTTCAATTTTGTGAATATTTATAAGGAATGGAGAAATTTGAGAATAAAATACAACTTTTTATGAATTATTGTACGAATATATTTGCCAGAAAAACTACATAATAAATAACTATTTAAATGTCATTTAATAAAACAAATGTTTCGCTAAATTATAGACGACTTAACCTTAAACTTGGAAAAACCGATTGAATTTATTTATTGAGTAAAAATTATTTGACAGAAAATAAACATTTTTTTTGGTTTTTAAAGCAAATAAGTTATCGGATAAAAGCCAATCGTCAGTCACTAATTGTTTTAATTGCTTATAAAAACATATTTAAGACAAACTGTGTTCCACTTAATCGTCTTAAAGCAACGAAACATCAAAAATAAAAGAGTAATAAAAGTTTCTTTTGTTTGCAAAGCAATTGAGTGCAAACACATCACAAATTTTCTAAAAAACTCTTACTTTAATCTAAAAGAGTTGTGTATAAAACATATAATGCAAAACTCATACCATATAATTAAAAACCAATTTTACGGAGAGTTTATATCGCTTTTAATTACTCGCTTAATATCGATATCATTCACTCGGATATAACGGCGATTAACAGACCAATCATGCAATCCATTCAATGTTGGGTTCAATAAAATATTTAATATTAATTGTTATCTCAAACAACATTAGCTCTAATTTCTTAAGCCATTAATTTATGCGTTTGTTTTTCTTGTTGTTATTAATTATGATTTATTTGCCATAATTTTTTGCATTTAATTATTTATTACATTTACAAGACTTTTGTTTTCAAAATTTATAAATTTAATGATTAATGGCTTGTAATTAATCTCAAGAATCTTAAGTTAAAAATTAAATTTAAAAATCTATTCACTTTTTGTAAAAATGTTTTACAACTAATAAAAACCATTTTTCTTAACACTTTGTGTTCAAAAATTTATGAATAAATATAATAAAAAGTTTATTAAACTTTATGTTAGGCATTTTTATAGAAATAAAAATACATAAATAAATTAATTTTATAACATGTATTTAGTTTAGTTTATTTAAGGTGTACTGAATTTACTAATAAATAATTTTAATTTGATTTTAAACATTATTTACAAAAATGGGAACATTTCTGTTTGAATGATATTTATTTGATTGTCGGTCTCTTTAAAGACTTACATTTGTCATCAATAATATATGCAATGGTTATCAAAATAACTTTTCAAATTGTCATTCTTGAAAATATTTAAAATAAATTAAAGTTAAATAAGTTTTACAAACAGATTCATTGACTTTTCACAAAAGAAATGGGTCTCAAAAATGCACCCATAACTTATGGACCATAAGTCTGCATACATTGAATGTATTGTAATTTTAATGCCATTTAAGCATTGTTTTAGATATTTGACAACTGTTTGAAATGTTTATTGAAAAGTTTACATATAATTTGAATAAATGACAAAAAACATTTTTGTGGGCAAACATACCCTTCTTTAGAGTGCTTTAAAACAATTAAACATAATTTGATATAATTGTGAAGATATATGAATGGGTTGGCAGTGATTGCGGCACTCGTTGTTCAACGAAACAATTAGTGTATCGAGAATTTGATGAAATCGTTAGTGTATTCAATGAATACAGTATATGATTGTCGACTCCCCCTAATCGGTGCATACACTGTGTAATAGTGTAATACCTGCCATACCCTCAGGTGTATTGCCTGTGCAATCGCTGCCGGCTCTAAGCGTTTTGATTTGTTGAGTTGTATAAGACTTACGTATATAAAACTTTATATAATATTGTATGGCATACACTGTATAAGTGCAACGCTTGGCCACCGGTTCACTTGAGTTGAGGTCTGACAGCCTTTTGCAGCAACACTGAAGGCATTTGTACTCGAATTCACGTAAGACTTACTTAACTTTCGAGTGAATGTTAGTTTCGTAGTTGAGAGGCAGTGCACTAGTAGTGACTCGTCTCGCAATACTAGGCTATTATATAATATATGGTTTAGAGCCTTACCTGTTGTGCCACTCATCCGATTCAGGTATCCAACAGGAAAATGGCCGAAACATTGGGTCGGCTCTCGTCAGAGACCCGTCTCTTACGCTGTGCTCCTTAACTGCCAGTTATATCACGACCACTCTCTCCATCGCTACCCTAGCTATACATTCAATACAGTGTTATTGCCTGTGAAAACTTAAATCATATGATCAAACAATATCGCAAACTTTGCTCATATGTTTGTTTCACTAGTTTTTTAAATATCAAAACTCGAGCCTAACTTCTCCTCGACATCATCTCTTCATCGCTTGTTATAATCATGAAATCGATCCATCCGTTCGCTTACTGACAGATATTCTCATCGATTTAATTAATTTTTGTGTTTTTGCCGCAAAATATTCATTCATTAATATTATTGCAATTATTGAATCGGAAGTGACTTTTAGTTTTGGAGAAATTACAATTGCAATTGTTGACTCAAAAGTGGATATTCATTAGACAATTGTCTGTATGTGTGGGAAGTGCTGAAGATGTCGACTGCAATCAGTCTGAGCCGTCGTTTTGGTGCCACTTCTTACGAGAATGTGTGCAACCGTTGCGCTCATGTGGTCTATTCGGCCGAAAAGATCGGACCCCTAAAGGACTTTACTTTCTATCACCACAACTGTTTCAAATGTCACGTCTGTGGCACCAAATTGACACTTAAGACTTATTTCAACAATCAACAGGACCAGGAGGACAAACAGGTCAGTCACACCACACCATCCATACCACTAATATGTCTTCATTTGTCATTTTAGCACATATTTTAGGACATATTTTTTGTTTGCATTTTTTGTGCATAAAATATATATATATTTCTTGAGACGATTTATTACTGAAAAGCTTCTGAAATGTTTTTTCTCATTAATTATTTTGTTCTAAAAAATTCTTTTCCAATCGTTTGAATGTTTGATAAAAAATTGAATGATTTATCGGTTGGCAATGCTTTGCAATACATTTGACACTCATTTTAGAAATAGTTTTTTGACTTTAATCTAAAAACTTCTCATTTTTCTTCATTTCATTAAAATACCAAAAATACCACAAAAAATATGCCAAACAATTATATAATAGTGACAAATGAGTTATGTCCTCATCTCCACTACATATACATTCAAATATATCAGATTTTATCACTTATTGCTAAAAAGTTGTATCTATTTCTTGAGAATGATCTGCAAATAAATTGGGTTCTCGTAAATGAACTCAAAAATTGATTTGTAAGTTATATTTCTACACGAATACGAGTATAATTTTTAAAATTTACAAAATTTAACTTATTTTACATTTAAATTAATTTTCGCAAATATGATTTATGTGTTGAAAACCTTTTTTCGTTTAATACTTATTATTACGGAAATATTCACAACGAGTCTAACATTTCAAAGCCTCGATTACACGAAAGGCATAAAATTGCAAATTTTCACATAATATAAGTTAAACTCTCAAATGGTTTTAAATGCTTTTTTAAATCGCTTTCACTTGAAGTTCACTGTCCCTCACATTTTATGGGCCGGAAGTAAACGCTCGTCACAATTAGCAACAAATTCATACAAAATTTATAATGCATTATATAATGCATTACATTATGAAACTTTAAATCCATAAAAATTGTACAATAAAAAAATTTACAAAATATATCTTGCATTACATTATCGCTCAAAAATCATTGCATTCAAAAGTTTGTACTGATTTTCTCAAACCTTTTTGAATTCTAATTAATTTTTTCTTTGCCTGAAAGTAAACCTATCTTTTCTGTCAATCTATTCAATCGTTTTTGCATTTAATAAAACTATAGTAAAACTTTCTCTTAAAAGTTTTGTTGGTTTTTTTGTTGCTTAAAACAAATACATTTCTCGTGTGTTATGTTTTATATTTTACGCAAATAATAAAATGTGAAAATTAATATTTCCCAAAACTATTGAATTATGTTTTTAATATATTCTCGCAAAGAAACAATAAAATCAATTTCAGGGCTAAACATTAGGGAAACAGTCTGTGTTTTATTAACAATACAACTTAAAAGGGAAATGATTTGAATAAAAATCACATTTGATCTCAAAATTGAGACAAATACAAAGCATTGTATGCTATCATACCATAGGTTTGTTATAACTTATAACGTTGTTTATTTAAGTGAATGATTTGACTAAATCAATGATAAAAGTAGTTTTTCATTACCAGCAAAATAGTCAATTCTGTGGTTACCTATAATTAGCATATTTGCACATTTGAGTTGCATTCGGTTCTTCTAAATGAAAACTCAAATAAATTTAATTAGCATTTTTTGCCACAATTTTATTTTTAAATTAATTGAATCCAAATTAAAGGCCGGGAAATCGATGGGAAATATAAAAAGTTATAAACAGCTGAATAGCATGAATGGCCATATTATGCAGTTTCGCTTTCTTTGGGCTACAAATTCTGGACATAACTTATTTGGAGAGAGAGAGAGAGAGAGAGAGAGAGAGAGAGAGAGAAATTTATCCGAGTTATCCTTCGTTCCAACAGATAATATAAACAAACTTTACATTACGTTTTGCTGCCATCCATTCACTCTCCCATCAAAACCATTTGTATGAATTAATAATGAAAATGAGGCGAACTTTTTATATAAAAGTATAGCTGTATTGAGTGGAAGGGAATGGAAATACACTGCAAATTGCATTTCACTACATATTCTCCCTCTCCCTCTCTCGTCTCCCTCCCCTCCTATCCCCAGCCCTTGCTATATGTGTGCGCTTTTGTTATAA